TTATACTATATATATATATATATATATATATATATATATATATATATTTACTTATTCGTGTTCTTTTTAGAGGTATGAGCATCGCCAAGTGTTTTTTACATAAAAATATTTTTTATTTAAGTAAAATTTTATCATCTATTTTGTTATTGTTACTTTTTAATTCTTTATGATAAAAACATAGCTTGAGTAAAGCGATTTTGGTCTTAAATGGATAGAAAGATACATATAATTTGATTATAATATTTTTAAATTACAGATATTACTACTTGGGTTTTATTTTTTTTAAATAGTAGTATATCAAGTCTTTTATATAATTGAAATACATAATTTGATTAAGGTGGACTTGTAGCTCAATGTTTATAGGACTACAATTTGGCACCAATTATTGATATCAAATCTTTTATACAAATTTTATATATTATTACAATCATTTTAGTTGGCAATGTGGAAACAAATCTTCTTTTTTAAGAATTAAGGCTAGTATCATTTGGATCTGAATAAGAAGATTCTTCATTAAAAATTTTTTTAAAGAATTAAGACTACACTACCACGTGGGAGTAAAAAGAATCTTCAATGAAGATACAGAGATACGTATCACTTAGATTCTATTTTTTTTAAATAAAAGATATCGTCAATAGATTGTATTTTTTAACTTGGTACAATAGTTTCTTTTTTTTTAAGCGTCCATTATATTTGAATACACCCTTTTTTTACCTTTTTTCAAAAAGGTAATTTTATACTGATTTTGTAGTATTAACCATTTTGCTGTGTTCGAAAAGCGCATCTATAGTCGATACCGTTTATGACTTGACATTTTTTTTTCTATAATACGCATAACGAGAGGTAAATAAGAAAAGAACGAAAGAACAAGCAAGATAGCATATTTGCTCTTTTTCCATGTGTTCGATTGACGGTCAACGATGTCGTTGAGTTTCGCAGCGAGTTTAATAATTGATCATAGTTCGTTTAGGAATGTAATGCGATGTTTATGCATCATAATCTATTATCTTGTACGTAAGTTCTAAGAAGCAATATGAGTATGTCATTTTGAATGTATTATTTAGACACAAACATGAGTCATTTACACTCCGAAACAAATTATCACGAACTGTTAAGGGGATCCTAAAGCGAAGGACGAACGACGGCCGCCCGTTAATGCCATCTAAACAGAATTACAGAAAGTCTAAACAGAATTACAGAAAGTCGATATTATCGACAATTTAAAAAGTCTATATTATCAACATGACTAATTAGTCATATTAATTTTTATCTTATCATTTTACTAAATAAATGAAAATACATGTATATATTGTATACATGTATTGTCAATGCAATTATTATTCTTCACGACGTACACTATGTCCAATATCCTTAGGCCAGGATACAAAGGACATTACATGTATTTTTCTCAAAGAGGAACATGTATATATTGCACATACGTAGTGAAGTGACTCTTTGCTATAGAAAGACATGGAACTATTTGTACTATTGCTATTTGACTAGTGTCTACGATATCTAGTACAAACATGTATACAATTTTATTAGATTTTGCGACAACATTGCATATTTTTTCACTGCACGCACCCACGCACGCACGCACGCACGCACGCACGCACGCACGCACGCACGCACGCACGCACGCGCGCACGCGCGCACGCATGATGCGGGACAAGGAATCTTGTTCTTCCCACGCGACGATTTGCTCGGTTTTTCCGTCCACACGAAAGTTTCTCTTTCTGCTTGACACATCCACTCACGATTTTCGAGCTTGAGCAAGAAAACTTATCTTATTCTTCTCTTATAAAAATCTTTCATTCGTCATTTCACATCATTTATCATCCGACAGGTTTCGCGAATTAAATCAAATTGAGTCAAATTGGACTTTTCATCAAATGCACCTGGATAAAAACAACTTTCTCCCGCGCTTTGACAATATTTTCCTTTCCTTCAAATTTAAATTTCGATTTAAATTTAAATTTCGATTTCTTTCGTAAATTTATTCTGTGAAAGCCGTAGACATAATAGTATTAACGAGCTAAGACTGCTTTGGTATCTCTACCTCTTCAATTAGGGAATAATTAGAATCTTCGAACTGAAAAACTATATCTCGTGAGGCTACTATTTTGCTAAATTAATTCTGGTTTTTATGAGTAAAGTGGTGGTGCATGCCAAGACATCTATGTGAATATTTAGCGCATATACATCCCCGTGCCCGTGTACATACGTGTATATATAGAATGTCTCACCCAATCAAGTTTCAATTAAAGATGAATTCTGAAGATGAATTCTATTGGCAATTGTTCATTTAACTTGAAACTTTGCAATAAGGGGAAATTATTCCAGCAGCTAAGCGTTACTTCATAAAATTTTTATTAAAAAAAAAAAAAAAAAGAAAAGAAACAAATTAAAACAACAAGTCGTAATTTTAAATAATGATAATAATTTTTATTATTAAATAGTAATTTTTATTTAAATTTAAGAATACAATTATATTTTCTTCTTCTCTTCTCAGATGTAAACTTGCGAGTAGAGTATTCCGTTCAATAATTTACCTCTTCTATTCCAACGCGTTTAATTGTCATTTTCATATTTTTTTTTTTATTTTTCCTTAAAAAGAAATTCTCGCGAGAGAAAAGCTGACTTCAAGAACCGTTATGCCGGCGATGAAAATCGAAACGTGGAAGATGAGACGCTCTGTGTATATACGTATATAATTGTAAAATAGTGATCGTGCTAGAGTATAAGGACAAATCGTAAAAAAATAGCATGTGCAAGACATCTAAGATAAAAAACACGTACAACACCTAACGCTATGTCGACTAAACTCGCTAGCTCTAGGAGCACAAGGATACTTGATAATAATTGTTAATAATGATTGTGAGAGAGAAAAAGAGAGGGAGAGAGTGAGAGGGGGAGAGAGAGAAAGAGAGAGAGAGAGAGAGAGAGAGAGAATCTAATTAGGAAGAGAACTCATGCCGAAGGGAGCAGACGTTTCCGGTGGCTCTCGAATCGCACCGCCGCGCAATTTCCGCCGCGTCGCGTTTACCTGTGCTGGTTTACTGTTTTTACAGTCCTGTTTAGTCCCATCGTAAGCGATAATTTGCCGTAAACATTTTGCATTCCGCGATATCGCACAACAATTATTAATTAAGAGAAGCTAAATAAAATTTATTTTGATAATCGCAATTTTCAACAATAATATTTTATCTTTATACAATATTTTTATTTACCGTAACCAAGTAACCATCCGTTAATCGCATCTCATCCGCAGAAGCCTCTTGGTAGGTTTGTCACAAATTTTTTTCTACGAGCTCTTTTTACTATTTATTTATTCTTTTTTTTTTTTTTCCACGTGAGCCGGATATTTCAAGCGCAATCGACGCAACCGCGAACCTCGCCGGAAGTTTACGGTATCCCGTTGTTTCACCATAATACGATTTTTATTACGAGACTTTACTGCCGCACTGCAGTCCCTTCCTTCCTCAGTTATTTTCTCTTTCGTCTTGCTGTAATTATATTTTGCTGTAACTCACAATTTGATTGTGAGCGCGACTATTCGTGCGGAAAGAGAAGTAACTTCGCCGGGAAATGTAGCTTGATAATTTCACATGAAGTAAATTTCATTTCATTCATATACGTAAGTAACGGTAAGTAACGGTAAAGGTAAAAACTTTTAGAAATATTAGACTTTATGAAATATATATTTTATATATAAGAAAACCGATATTACGGCCAGTCTTGGCGCTTAGTTTTTTTTTATTTGACAGCAAATCATGTATACACAATTGTCATTATTTTTACGAATAGAGTGGCGCAAAATATTCAGAAATAATTTACGATTACTAATTATCATCTTACCTATCCTGTTATGATGTCACACAGCGTTGAAGTACGTTTAGCAACTGAGATGAACTCGATTACGATTTCGCTTCGCATTGTGATTTTTCGCGGAGATGCTATCGAGATTTCCGGCGAGGTCCGAATAGAACGATTCTTCATGTTTTCTCGCTCTCTGACACGAAAATCGTCGTTCGTTGCACCGATTGCATTTACTCCCTCTCGACGGAGGCATAATCGATTATTGAACGTCCTCGCATTCACGTCCTAATCTTTTTACAAGGGCGTCCATAAAAGGTGAGTCGATGATAAACTTATTCTCAAAAGTTTTTAAAGCAGAATTGATTATTAAAATCAATATTTTATGTTAAAACTAAGATCAAGAAAATTAAAAAATATGAAATATGAAATCTCAATACTAAAACAAAACGAAAGTAATCGAAACAAAGTAGAATTATAATAAAAATTATTATTATTAAAAAATTTATCACTAGATAAAAAAGTGTATATCAAATAAAAGAAACTAACATAAATTTCTTCCATCTTTTAAATATTGAATAAATGCGATTTGTAAAATTAAAGAAAATTAAACAGTAGTATAGTATATAAATAAAAATATTACATAGATATCCGAATATATATATGGCACATCTACAGAATATAGATAAAAGAGAATAAAGTATTTCTCCGAACTCAATTTTGATATCGAAACTTCTTAGATATCTCCTTCCCGATCTATTTCCCTCCCCTTCCATGGACGTCCTTGTCCTCTCACCCTTTCGCGAGTCGGTGCAAAGTGTCGAATGGCAGGGGGGAGAGAGAGAGAGAGAGAGAGAGAATGAAGAAAATAAATGAGAGGAAGGAAAGGGGA